GCTCCCATGTTACGGAAAGCAAAATCAATAGCTACTGGGTCAGCGATGAGCAGTATGTGCCATTGCTTCTACCCACGGCGTTCATCGCTTGTACAGAGTACTATTCGGTAGCTTTGACTTCTTCGATATCCAAACTGACTTCAATCTCAAATAATCGTCTATGTTCTTAAAATATATTGGTCTGCCGCTCGTCATCACAGCATTTGGTTATCAACAATAGCAAAGACTAAAGATTAGTTGAATCTGCTGCACTATGTAACGCATTAATTTTATTAATTTTATTGGGGAAGGGAATTTCAAGATGTAGTGATTATCGATACATGGATTTTACTGGCGTTTCTTGTATGATGCAGCACAATGCCGACTGCCCCATTGTCATTGTCCCATTAAATTACTGTAGGTAAACACCACAGGCTACATGCTTTATTGACCACAAAGCAATGAAAAGCCGATTTGATCTGTAGTGCTGAGGGATATGCATTGAATAGGTGAATGAATGACTTGCCATAGTATCACATGACACGTTCGTTTGCGTGTCACTATAAATAGCTATTTTAACTGTCAAACAATAACACGACCTGGCTTCACTGGGCCATTGACTACACTCACAGCAAACAAGTTTTAGAGTAAAAACCGTTAACACATTTGTGCTTCGAAATGTATCGAAAGTTATACTTTTATTTTGATCATGATGTTCGTGTTTACATTGTATGTACAATAATTGTGTTTTGACACCATATTTTCGATCACTTGTATTGCCTCATATTTTGTTGAAGTGGGCGTGACAATCGTGGAAAGCAAACTCATAACTATTCATAACAATTGAATTTCTTTATTCACTAGATACTGTCTAATATGCATGCATATATACAAGTTGTTTATCAACATATGCAAGAATTAGTTTGCAATTCAAAACTATTATTTTATCACTATTATTCATGTGTCATTTTATGGAATATTCAAGAGGAAATTAAAAATATATTTCATAAAATTAATAAAATAAATGTGTCGTTGCAAATAGCACATGATACAAATATAGCCTTATTAATAAATGTAGTTTTAAATATAAAAGTAATAAATCAATAATAGTATAATTAATTAAAATTAATTAATTAATTAATTAATTAAAAAAATATTATATTATTAGAAAAAAATTATATAAATTAAAATACGGTACAAGCAGGTAAAATAAAATGTATTCTACGACCTGCTAAAACTGACAACAAATTTTAATATATTCTCAAATTGTTTAAATTATTTAATCAAACAAGTGAAAAATAATTCTTTATCTTTCAATAGCCACGAATCATTTGCCACTGTGAGTGAATATATAACATATATTATGCAGCCTTA